GATCACGATTGTCCGACAAACTAAACTAAATAACATGTAACTTTCTAGAAGTTCGGACAAAATGTGAATTGCTGCAGTCATAACAAACATTAAAAATGTTTGATTAATTTGAGTGGATTATAAAAAAAAAAAAAATGTTTTGAATGAATGATTCAATGACCCTTTCTTTACTGAATGAATCAGTGTTTTGAGCAAATCTCTTGAATGAATGATTCAATGACAACGACATCTACTGGTATAACGATGTAGATACAATCTTTATTTGAAGTGAATCTTCAATCTTTATTCAAAAGGTAATTTGATGATTTTGATTGCTACCATAGACATCCCCAGTGTTTATATACCCGAAATATAAACTTTTATCCCATGTACTTCTGTGATCATTTGAATATATGTAACTTACACAATCATACTGTGATGTTCACAAGATTGTTTGTGAAGCTGTTTCATACCTAAACATTAGAGATGCACATATGGACAATTAATTAATCCGCAACCGCATCACAAAACTCATCATCAGTCCGCCATCCATCCGCACCAACGTTTTTGACAAATTTTCAAAACCGCACCCGCCCGCCATCCGCTGATTGGGCGATACAAGGCGCTGCTGATGTGACAGGCGCGAGACTAGAAAGCTCAGAATATCAGCAGTGAACTCCGTCTCCGATCGGCGCGCAGGGACAAAAATAAATAAATAGCCTAAATTAAACGCACTTCGGCAAACCTGACCTTATCTGATAGGCTACTGTACAATATTTTCATTGTAGCCTAATAGAAAACGCATTTTGGCACATAATTTCAACATGCTGCTATTGTATGGGGGCAGGCGCCATTTGTAAAGCGGCTCACGCTGAAAATAACAGCAACATTTTGTCACATTTAGCTTCAAACAATGTTTAAAATACTGATATCACATCACACACTTGTGATGCACCATATTAGACGTCCCCGTCTTGTGGCTGTCATGAACATAATCTGCTTCGCAAGTTTTGCAAATGACATAGCCTGCACTGGTGTCATCCTGATTTACCACTTTGTAAAACTTATTCCAAGGCAACACTTTTCTGACCTTCTATTTCCTTTGTTTTTAATTCTCCTTTTTTGAGTTTGTCACGTACCTCCTTCGCCGGCGTTGCCATCTCTGATAATAACAAGCAGTTCACATAGACTCGACTAGCTGCCTGATGAAAATTTGACTATTCCAAAGTGTGCTCGATTTTTTTTTTGGATGTAGGTATAGTCAGATAACAATATTTAACAATGTATACATATATTTTTCATTTGATTGGTGATCACCACCCGCCCGAATTTAATTAAAATATATTTTTTTCGTCACGTCATCCGCCCGATCCGCGGCTGTAACCGCCAACCGCGCATCTCTACTAAACATGACAACTGCTCTCTCTGTCTCATCAGCAGCACCAACGCCGATTTGAATGTTCTGCTGAGATTTTGTCAAAAGTTTAATAGACACAGACTAATTGTTGTAATTTAGGGATAAGATCGTTTAACGAATAATCGTGTAGCTCTAGGATATTGCAGTATTTATTATAAATGATTTATCCGTACACATCCTTATTTTTTTTTAATCATGTGTCCCCTCCCACTTGCAGCGACATCTCCTTTCTTCTCTGATGACACGTTTACTGGTGCGAGGACAGGACAACCTGTCACTCACATGAAATTGACCAATAGCAAACCACAACCATGATCCAATCAATTCCCAATGGACAAAATCAAGCCGCACCCTTCATTTGTTCTTGCTCGAGAAGCAGTTTCACTCGGATATACGTCCCAATAGGGAAGAAAAGACGTTCGTTTCATGCAGACTTTAAGTAAATATGGGCGCACCCACCTGGAACATGAACATGGCCAGTTTCTCGTTGTACTCCCACTGTTTCATTGCAGTTTCGACCTCTGCAGGAGGAGCGGGCAGAGGAGACCCGCAGCCCTGGCTGGGAGACTGTCTGTAAAACTCTGCCACCTTCTGCAGCTGCTCCCACAGGTATTTAGTAATTATCTGAGTCCATTCTACAGAAGCCAGATAAAACCAGTGAGGCATTGCAGCACAAAGCCCAATTACACAGCACCAACAACAGAGGACATCCTATCTTCTTTCAAGAATTAAAAGAGGACATGCTGCATGTTTGATACAGCCAAATTCGTATATGAGCATATAGAATGATGCACATTTACCACACTAACCTATGCAGGGGTCAATGACATGCCTCTTCTTCACCTTAGTTTCAGTTATGGCAGCGTGATACGCACATGTCATTTTAATCATCCAAGCAGATCGCATCACCGGCACAGAGTATTTGGCAAGGTAGCCAAACACTTCCTCTTTCTTGCTGAAGATAGGAACCTAACACACACACAGCAATTAGACTAATGCAAACCCCAAGATAAAAGAGCATTTGACCTCCTACTGTGAAATACTGTAATGCTCAGAAGTTTGTGCGCTATTAACACAACAAGTGATCTGTTCAGAGTTCACAAAAAGGAACAAAGCAAAAGCAAACCTTTTTAGCAAGCTGAGTTAGGGGTTTGGTCCCGGCCAAGTCCGTGAACCAATTATTAATGGAGCTCTGAGACCTGGCTGTGACGAGCCAGAAATTATCCTTCTGATTGACCTGCGGCTTCCTCTTCCCAGTGTCTGGAAATGTGTTGCAGCGTAACTTCTCTGCAATGATGCTGCTGAAGTTTGAGCTGATCTGAAAAGCAGAAGGAAACAGGAATCCTCAGTGTAAATGAATGAGGATGAGACTGTAATAAAATGCATGCATGCAATTGACCTGTGAATGAATTGATCATCTTACCTTTGAAGGATTGAAATTGACATTTTTAGCGCTGCCATGCTCATCGCCTGAAACAGCTGGCTGGTTGTTAAATCCTTGCTTGACGTTCAAGGCCGTCAACTCATCCTAATCAACGACAGAGAGATAGTTTCAGTTACTACATGCATATCTCATTACAGTGTTCAGGCGAGTCAATCAAGCGGCAGTTAATCAGAGTTAATCAGTCCTCCATCCTTATGAGAGCTCAAAATTCATCAAGACGACAAACTGAATTCAGACTGAAAAATCTGCAGCCACAAGTATAAGAGATCACATGCAATGCTGAAAAATAAGACTTGTGATGCAATCCACAAACACACATTATATATATATATATATATATAAAATTTTGATTTATCTTCTTGACAGTCTTAATGCGTTTGTGATATAATGGTTGTGTCTACCTGGAAACATTTTTAGGCATCATAGGCACGTACATCGTTTTTGCATGCAGCATAGATCATTAATATACAAAATTCTGAACGAGGCATTGGTGTCCACAACTGTTGCCAGACAGCTCGCTAGGTTTTAAAATGCATCCATGACAAACACTTCAATCCACGAGCAGTTGTCAACAAACATAAACAAACCGACAGTACTAACAGGCTATTGGGATTGTTTACATCTTAAATAAAGCTTTATTGAATTGCAAATACTTATTTAATTATTATAAAAACACAAGATAATGATTATTAACATTCGTACATTTCACATGACGCGCTTTTTAAATGGCACTGCGACGATGAAAGTGGCTTTAAACAAAAAGCTCGACAAATATAGATCCTTACGTCATTTTTAAAGCGGAATTTCACTAATAAAATATCCGTTTTGTCTCTCTAGCCATCTGCAACAACAACTAAAGATGAAGACCGAAATAATTTGAGGCAATAAATTATGTTTTTCTGTTCAGCTAGTCGAGCCGTTCGGTTCATTGTTATTGGTCGTTAGCTGACGGCAGGGCCTCGTCTTAACAGCCCTGAAAAAACACTCTTTAATTCACTATTTAAACGTTAAATATGTCTAGAGAGGAAGAGGGAGAGTAGCCTAACCTCCTTTTGCTTCGGGTCCTGTGGATAGACGTCTGGGGGACCGAGTCTGGGCCGTTTAAGAGGCCTGTGTTCGTAGCTCAGAATGCCGAAGGCAGCCATCATCCCCGCGGCATGTCAGCCCGGTGTGTAGCCGATCCTGTGCGCTGCTGCTGCGGCTAGAGCTCCGCAGCTTCACCGATGCTTCCGCTCCGACGGGATTGATGGGAAAATACAAGACAACATAAAAGTCCCTTCAGTACAAAATAATAGAGCTTCTTTGATTGTAAGGACTTTATTTGTTCGATCAAGAGCTCCTGCAGCGTCGTTGTGGTTAGTTTCGTGTTGTGTTTTTATTAGATGAGTGACTATAGGCAAATGATAATACATTTAGGCTACATGTATTACTGCTTAGATTAAAAAAGGCCAAAGTGAGAACCATGAAATATTAATAATTTTTCCTATAGCCTACAATGTTTATATTACGTTTGTCTTTAAAGTGTCATATTTTGAACAAAAAAAATCAAAAGTTTAAAGGCATGCAGGAACAAAATGATATGAACAAATAATCTTTATCTTTCAACCCTGACAAAGGTCTTACACACACAAAGCAGTTAAATGTATAAATATACTTTTTATTCAATAAAACATTTTTGTAACAATCATAAATCAAGTGTTAAACAACCACAAAAGTATATCATCTCTGGATCTTAAAGAACAAGGCAACTCTTAATGATTAACATATCTAAGCTTGTGAACTGATTTGTATTTATCTTGACATTTCCAAGATTAATATCTAAACAGACACTGCAAGGTGTGGCATAAGTTTATTTAAATAATAATAATAATAATAATAAAATAGACTTCCAAAGGCCTATAGACCTTAATTCCTGCATAATTCAGGTACCTGTGCAATTCAGCTTGGAAAATACAAACAACTGTCATTCATTCCTGAAGAGATCATGCAGTGAAGTCTTGATATGAAGAAGTACAGGCACTCCTCAAGAATCTAAGGGATTTTTTTGGGATTTTCGTTGAGAAAATTATGTTAGATAACAGAAATATGCACTTAGAATACAAAAAAAAATAGCACTGTCTTGATGAATTATTATAAGAAATCAAATTGCACATTTTCTTCTCTCTAAAACACTAATTGCACAATGCTTTTGACAGATATCCATCAAATATATAACAGCAGAGGCACATAACTTACACAGCATGAGTGACAACAACAACAAAAAATAAGAATGAAAATAAAACACATTTCTCTTTTTTGGTGCTGATCTCTGGAATGATTGATATGTGTGACTGATTTGAATGTCATCTTTGGTTGGATTAATAACATGCATGAAAACGTCAGATACATATAAGGCAATTCAATAATACCTTATGGTCAATACATATCTTGCATACTTTATAGAGCCCAACATGAATTATAGCAAATAAATGAAACCGTCAATAAATTACATTTATCAGTGTGCTAAATTTACTTCTACCAAACACAGGCAGAAGATCTAGTCCAGTAAGAGAAATGCACTCAATCAACACTTGTTTGGACTGACCGCAAGAGTCAGGTCGCCTCTCTGGCAGGCAGGATTATTCACACATCAACACAAATAAAGTGCCATCAACATAAATGTTTCCATTGGAAAGATGTCCTTCATGACATCATATACCGTATGAACTCAAAATCTCTCAGTGTGCGAACAACAACATTATCATCATTATCTTAAAGTATAACAAACAAACGGAAAATCTCAGTTTCAGCAGCTTGAAGGATTTTTACTCTGCATCTGGTATACATCTTCTCAGCAGCAGGTTGGAGGGCCTCTCGTCCCTCTGAATGTTTTCGTTGAGCAGAGGGTCCGTGTGATCAACGCCTGCTTAGTCCTTACAGGTGAGCGTTTCTTCTGCTGCCACCATCATGGCATGGAAACATGAGTTTTCATTGGCCAGCAAGTTTGAAGGGGTGTCAAACTCCAAAATCTATTTCAAAGATGATAAGATGTTACATGAACATAACTTTGTCTATATGTACTGTTTATAGTCCATAATCTATACATCTAGGCAGTTTTTTGATGGAAAATATCAAACCAAGTGCAATCCCTAGACAAATGACATATTGAGCTTTTCTTAAACTAACTTTACTGTTCTGGGTCAGTTATTCTACATGTAATGAGAATCCATCAGATTTCAAAATAACACTTTAATTGCATGTTAATGTTTTTGACAGCTCTCTGTAGATATACTGTACATTGTGTATATATAGAATTAAAAGTTTAACACCATTCTTCTTTTTTAAGAGTTAACACATTTATCTAATTTGAGACTGAAAGCTGAACCTTTGGAGCCGATTATCATATGAATTATGAACATGTTCTACTAATGCTGTCCCTTTGGGGTCACTGTATGATTATCATTAAAACAACAGCAGATGAAAGTGGAGCCCCACCTGCCCCTGGTCCAGGACCATGATCCTGTTACAGTTCAGCACAGTGTTGAGGCGATGGGCAATCACTAGAGTGGTGCAGCCGCTGAAAGAGCTGCGGATAGTGTCCTGTATGAGGCGGTCCGTCTCTGTGTCGATAGCAGCGGTTGCCTCATCTAAGAGCAGGATCTGAAATACACATACAGCACAAGTTTGTGATCATCAATGTTGTAATCAAAATCTTTTCAATGGACAATTGTTTCTCATTTCTTTTTCATTTCAACATCCCATGAAATGGTCATACACTGATGAGCCAAAACATTATGACCAGTCTCAGGTGAAGTGAATATCGTTGATCATCTACGCCAGCTTCAGTTTGGATCCAGCCTCTTGTGAAGACTTCCGATGACCCAACACCTGTGAAGAGTCGGCGCCAACTCCTGACAGGACTTCAGATGATGCCAACTCTGAATCAACATGCACCACTGCCAGATTTTCTATATATTGTAATCATTATGTTCACAACTTGTAATAATTACTTTATTGAGCTCATCGTTTCTGCCTTAAATTATGATGTTAGCTAACTGCATGAATTTAGGGGAGTATAGGGACCGATTCAGACAGTGTAAATATGAAGTCTGGTTTCACGTTGGTGTCGCACACACAGTCTGCTTCGGTCCAGAGACACGAGAGCACAGAGTCGGCGCAGATCACCAACGAATCGGACCCATCTGAATCCTACACAGAATGCTATATTTTAATTTAAAGTGATGGAGGAGTTACGGTTAGACAGACTAACGAGTAGAAGAGATAACACCGGTGCCATTCACCAACATAAATACACATCCTCAACATAATTATGTTCACTGTTTTGCTTTAGTAACAGTTTCATATTCAATTTAAAGGGGAAATCTATTAGACTGTCATAAGCTGTCAAATGCAGCTTTGCCGAGCTGTGATACAAACAAATCGCTATTGACTATTTAAAAGGGGGGAGGGGCTACTCGATATGTCTCTTTCTGTGGAAAGAGAGTGGAAATTGGAAATTACGTCAACTCATTGAATAATGCTGTGCGTTTCAAGGCTCTTCAGTGGGCCTTTAAGGTCTGGGTAGAAGGAAAGCAAACAATCAGTTCTCGTGTTGGATACAGAAAGAAATGGTCAGGAATAAAGATCTGATCAACTTTGAAAAGGGCCAAACTGTTATGGCAAGGCGACTGGGTCAGAGTATCTCTGAAACGGCAAGGCTTGTGGGTTGATCCGGGTCAGCAGTGGTGAGAATTTACCAACATTGGTCCGAGGAGGGACAAACCAAAAACCGGGGGTGTAGGGCATAAAAGGCTCATCGGTGCACAAGGGCAACGGAGGCTATCCTGTCTGGTCCGAATGTGTCTCAACATGGGAGCTGCGTAGCGGCAGACGAATCAGGGTGCTTAAGATGACCCCTTTCCACCATAGAAAACACCTACAATGAGCATCTGAACTGGAGCGTGGTGCAGTGGAAGAGGGTCACCTGATCCAATGAGTCTCGTTTTTTATTCTTCATGTTCGTGTGTGCCGTTTACCTGGGGAATTGATGGCTCCCTGGTGGAGGGAGTGTGATGCTCTGTGCAATGTTCTGCTGAGTGACCCTAGGTCTGGCTATTCATGTGGACGTCAATATGACACATGCTGCATACCTATACATTGTTGCAGACCAGGTACACCCCTTCAGGGCAATGGTGTTCCCTGGTGGAAGTGGCCTCTTTCAGCAGGATAATGCACCCTGTTCAGGAATGGTTTGAGGACCATGATGAAGAGGCGATGCACTGGCCTCCAAATTCCCCAGATCTCAATCCAATTGAGCATCTCTGGGATGTGCTGGACCAACAAGTTTGATCCATGGGACACCTTCAGGAGTCTGGTAGAGTCCATGCCAAAGCGGGTCGGTGCTGTTTGGGCAGCACGCAGAGGACCAACAGCATATTAGGCAGGTGGTCATTATTGGAACAGTAAGCTGGGGCAGGACATATTGATTGACCAATAGTCTTTCATTTTTGTCCAAGAACATACACAAATAATTCAGTAAAATGTGTTTATTATTTAAACTGTAAAGTCAGTGGTTCTCAAACAGGGGTCACTAAGAGACCTCAATTCAAAGAGAGCCTCACAATGACTTTTATTTGATATTTTATTTAGAAGAAATTTTGATTAAAAAATATATTTAAAAATCATTCTAATCCTTATCCAGTAAATCACGAACAACTGTAAGAGTCACGTAAATTCATTGGTTAACAAAAACATTCAGTTCCTAAAACTTCTGGAATCCTGATGTCATTATTTTAATTATATATTTTTTTATACAGAATTTACATAAACAAGGAGTACCAATAGATTAAAATAAGTTGGGGGTTTTTAAACTAGAGTTTTGTTTCTTCTAATATTGTTGTGGACAATGGAGCGTCTTGGAGTCAAAAAGGTTGAGGAACCATTGGTATAATTTTTCCCAAAAGAGGATTATTAAACTGTGAGCGAACTGCTTGGGTGTCACAGATCAGATGTAATTCCTGATATAATTCCATGTGAACTGTTCTGTACAGACAGTTACATCATATCCCTTTATGATATCATTGCACATTTTGTGCAAAGCTTCCCAGGTTTACATGATCGTCAAGTTTAAAAAACAAAAAGAAAAGATTGGATACAATTTATACTAGCAATAGTCATTCACTGTCTGCCATGTGGTGGCAATGTTTCACCATTTGACAACAGCTGAGATTCACCAGAATTGTAGATCAGTGCTTCTCAACAGCAGGAGAAAAACAATGATGCAAATAATATACTGCAACTAATCATATAATCAAATTGAGTTAGGGCAGCAAAATAAACCGGTTTATCAATTTTAAAGTGTAAAACTGTTTGGTTGACAACATTCTTCAAAATATGTTATTTTATGTTCCACAGAAGAAAGAAAGTCATACAAGCTTGGAATGACATGAGGGTGAGAAAATGATGAGATCATTTTCATGTTTGGGTGCATATATGCCACCACACAAGAAAATGAAAAGAAAATGCGTCACTAAATATAGATCATCACAATATAGTTCCTGGTAATATTAATACATTTTAAGCATGTTTCTTTTGCGTCTGCCAGACCTATTGTTGTTAATTAAAGAGCAGAGCTGAGACGAAGTGTTCAGGAGTTAATCCTAACAGTTACCTTGCTGTGTCTTAGAAGAGCTCTGGCCACACATAGAAGTTGTCTCTCTCCCACTGAGAAGTTCTCTCCATTATCTGTCACTTCTGAATGCAGTGAATTGGGCAACTGGTTAACCTGAAACCAAATCAACACATTACAACCTCTAAGGCACAGCTACTCAAAGACATTTGCCTTTTGGAAAATAATTCCAAAACCTCCTGCTCTTACTCACCATGTCCTTAATGTGCGTTTTCTCCAGTGCTTCCCAGATCTGTGCATCAGTATAGTGATCCCAGGGATCCAGATTTGATCTGATGTTGAGATAAGCAACTTAGTCCACATGGTCAACATAAACTAACCCTGGTCTTACTGTGCACAATTCATCAAATTATTTGCTGATTTTGCTCAACTTCTGTAATTAATTAGGCCCTGTTTACAGCTGGAATTAAGATGCGTTTTGTTCGATCGGATCACAAGTGGCGACACAAAATACAGGCCTAAGCAGGGTTCTAAAATGTTTGGAGCTTGTCCACTTTTGACCACTTCCATAGGGGTTGTCGAAAACCCATTAGACCGGATTGCTTTCGTATTGTAAACGCTCATGTGGTTAAATATGTTTGAACAGCCACAAAAGACCTCCTACTCTCCGCCTACTGACCTAACGCATAAACATTATGGGAAGCGAGCTTGCCAGACGGGATTTCGGCGTGATCTTATGGCTGTCAGATCAGAAACTAAATCTGCTGTTCTCCGTGTCTTTTTCTGTCGTCTTCGGTGCGTTCATATAAATTGTGTGAGCTTATTTTGTCCTTTAGATCAAAAGATCTGAAAAAAATATACATATATACCCTCCCCTCTAAGAAATCAGGACAGAAGTGGTTGAAAGTGGATTAAAACACCAGGTGTAAACAGGAATGTGTCTCCCTCGTCTATTTGTGATCCGACCTAACAAAACGCACGAGGTGTAAACAGAGCCTTTGTTTTGGCCCTCCATTCTGGTATGCAACGCCCACTTTTTCACAATCTGATCAATTCCACATGGATAAAATGTAGTCTAACTTTCACACTGAAGGAAGTGAACTGCATCATTTTGACTTCAGGAGTTCAGCTGAAAGCACATGGCTAGTATTAGTAAAGTGACGTGGACCGTACCTGACAGTACCAATGAAAAGAACCGGCTCTTGGGGGATGACTGACAGCTTGCTCCTCAAGTCCTCCAGACCAATGTGAGCGATGTTGACACCGTCAATGACGATTGATCCACAGCTGAGCTCCACTAGTCTGAAGAGTGCAACACCCAGTGAAGATTTCCCTGAGAAAACAACCAACCTGTGTCACAATCTATTTCCTCCACCAGTAATATGACTCGCAGTACAGATGAACACAAACAGCATCTGATAGGATAAAAAAAGTCAAGTAGACAAGTGTACCTGAGCCCGTTCTGCCAACTATCCCTACGGTCTCCTCTGGAAGAACGCTAAAGGAGAGATTCTTCAGAACCAGAGGAAGGCCATCCCGATACCGCATTTCTACATTCTGGAAGGTGATTCGTCCACCCGCTGGCCAGCTGGAAGCAGGAGCGGAGGATCCGGCGATCTGTCGAGGACCTTCGCTTTCCAGGTTCTGAGTAAATAAATGGTATAATGTTTATACTTTGTCCTTCAGAACTCAGCAAGACTGAGTTATTGGCTTCATTAATCACTGTAAAATGCTCTCCGCCACTTGGGGCGGCAGCTAAGACAGCTGTACTGTTCTGCTTTGATAAAAGTCTCCTGAAACAAGCTGTGTCATAAGCTATGGTGTTCTGGCTGGCAATAAACGCATCCCATGAAGCCTGCTGAGCGGCATGTAGCAGACTCATTATGCACCGCACTGACCGCTGGGCTCAGCGGCCTGTGCAACGTAAAGAGCTGTTGTCTTGTGTGAGCTGTGTCAGTTGAATATGGTCTGTCCCTTTCTATTTGCCATCGACACTACCCGCATGCATGTGTCACAGATGCTTCTACCTTTATGTAATGATTGATCCGCTCCACTGAGGTAAATCGGGCTTCGGTTTCAGAAAGGAGCCTCACGGTGAACTGAAACAGGCCAGTCAGCTGGATATGGGAAGGGAAAAAAAATGGACAATGAATAACAATTATGAGCAATAGTAAACAATGCTAAGTAGCGGACCTGCCCTACAAGCTTCCAGCACGTCCCCTACTCGGCTGTGAGAGCAGCGCACCTGTACAGCGTAGGAGATGGCCAGGCCCGCGTAGGCAGGGGGAATGTTGCCGTGCATTAAGACGATGAGGAGGGCTATAGTGGTGATGAGAGAAATACTGATAAGATCCAGACGAACAGCCAGCCAACGCATAGCACAGCTGAACAGATAGTGACACGCTTGGTTTGTGTCAAGCAGGGCTTGATTCCTGGTGGAATAGAACAGATATTTAGCTAAAGTCCTCATTTTGTGATTTTATTTATAACATACTTTAAATATTGTATATATGTATTGTATATATTATATATATATATATATATATATATATATACAGTATGTACAATTTGTGGTCAGTTTTTAATGTTTTGGAAAGACGTCTATTATTCTCACCAAGGCTGCATTTATTTGATAAAAAATACAGTAATATTGTGAAATATTATTACACTTTAAAATAACTGGTTTCTATTTTAATATATTTTAAGTTGTAATTTATTTCTGTGATGCAAAGATGAAATTCCAGCATCATTAGCCTACTCTAGTCTTCAGTGTCACATGATCCTTCAGAAATTATTCTAATATGATGATTTGCTGCTCAAGAAACATTTCTTATTACTATCAATGTTGAAAACAGTTGTGCTGCTTAATATTTTGTGGAAACCGAGATAGATTTTTTTTCAGGATTCTTACAACACATACAATATTATTTATGAAGTATTGCTTCATTGGGTTTTCAGTACAGTGATTTTACATTTCTTTCACTGTACAGTATGTGTGTAGGATGAACATTTAGTCAAATTCAGGTGGAAATCCAAAATATGCCCCAAAGTGGATGGGATTTATGAATAGAAAGTTCAAATGAACAGCATTTATCTGAAATAGAAATCTTTTGTAACACTACAGGTGAAACTGGAAAAATTTGAATAACGTGGTGCAAAAGTTCATTTATTTCAGTAATAGCTTGTTTTCATATGACGTCACGCCACTGCGTTGCCATGGCGCGAAATGCAAATGGAGGGCAGGAAGTGATTTGCTGTATTTAGAAAGCACTATAACAAACTCAAAATGCCTATGTTTTGCGTCGTTTATGGTTACTTAAATCGATCAAACCACGAGGAGTTTTTATCGTGTACCAAAAGTTGTTGTTCATAAGGGGGGAAATGCAAGAAATTGACCGAAAAACTCCGGGAAAACGGCTTGCAAACCTACGTCTGCGGTCGGGAGGAGCCGAATGGGAAAATGCCCGTGTGTGCCGTGATCACTTCGTCAAAGGTGAGTTAATACAACTTAAGTGGCTATGTTTGTGTAACGTGTAAGTTAACGTGTAACGTTTACGAACTTTGTAAAGTCAAAGTATGTCTGTAAGACGAGGTAGTTGCTGATATCTACCGCCTCGATGGCTGGAAAATCTTTCAATTCAGTTGAAAATCGCTCCTCTTAATAACGTAAGGATCACGTCCAACATGTTTGATTTTTTGTTTATATCTTTCTCTTGTAAAATAGTGTGAAAAGTAGTACAGTACGGACTTTCCTCCATCTCGTCCATTGCGCTCTTCACTCCCTGCCCTCCATCTGAATTTCGCGCGTCATCATAATCACGTGACTGAAACCCAGCTATTCAACTTAAAAGCTGAAACTAATTTATTATATAGACTCATTACATGCAAAGTGAGATAGTCCAAGCCTTTATTTGTTATAATTTTGATGATTATGGCTTACAGCTTATGAAACCCTTCAAAAAAATGTGAATATTGTGAAAAGGTTTTCATAAGCTGTAAGCCATAATCATCAAAATTATAACAAATACAGGCTTGAAATATCTCACTTTGCATGTAATGAGTCTATATAATAAATTAGTTTCAGCTTTTAAGCTGAATTACTGAAATAAATGAACTTTTGCACGATATTCTAATTTTTCCAGTTTTACCTGTATAAATGCCTTTACCGTCACTTTTGGTCAATTTAATGTGTCCTTGCTGAAAAGTATTCATTTCTTAAATAATAATAATAAAAAAATCTTACTGACACCAAGCATTTGAGCGGTAGCATATATATGCATTCATTAAGTACATTCGTTTATAACTGTAACCTCCGTTACAATACAAAACAGTTAGTTCCAGTCCTCAAATTTGATTGGTCTTTGATTTTTCATTATTATCTTATGCAATGACATTTGTGAGTGTGACTTTTTGAAATTTGAGAATACTTTCTGGGGCCATGGTACATAAAGACCTCAAGTAAAGTTTCCCCAGCATAACTTCAGCGTTTCAGTGAAAAGTTCTGTAAAGTCATGGAGGACATTATGTTGTCTGAATATTACCTGTGTATGAAGTCAGCACCCCTGCCGTAAGCATAGATAGTGGACAGTCCTTGCAGACTGCTGGTGATATGAGAGGTGAAAGGGGATTGGCTGATATTTTCCAGGCGCTTCAGCTCACGAATGAGAACCCTTTGGGTAAAAAGGACAATCGGAAAAGTAAATTTATTTATATATATATATATATATATATTTTTTTTTTTTTCCAGTCCCTGACAAAAAGTCACCCAGTCATGAAATATGAGCAGCGATATACGGCTGAGTTTTGATCAAAGCTCTGGCTCATCTCATCTGCTTATCTGTGTGGCTCACAGAACTGCCTGTGATGTGACAGGTTAGTGGCGAGATGGAGGCCCACAGGGGACAATAATAGTGAGACTGAGGGGATCTTCCTGGCTGAGCTGCAGTCATTTCTGGCTTCTGAACTGATTTATACGGGGCTTTATGAGGCCTCTCACACGTCAGCGCTATCGCAGACAGGACAGCAGAGTCTATCTGCAGTGTAAGGCAGAGGCCATTACTGATGAAAAACTAGCCTGATTTGAGCTTGTAAGTGCATATTTAAAAAAAGGCAAGGCTTGTGAATAATGTCAGTTATGAATTAAACTTTTCTTAAAATGAAGGTGAAAGAGGACAAACCTGCCCTTGATATGTAAGACAGATTCTTTGTAAATACATGCATGAGGGTGGTTCTGTTGTCTTTTAAGAGCAAAAGAACACATTCGAACACATTTCACTTCAAAGAGAGAAACAAATGTTGCATCACAATGGCTAGAACTAGTGGTCAGTAGTACACTGGCAAATGAGAGGTACATACAATTGCTGGCATTTTTAAACATATTTTACATAATATGTTACCCTTTTTTATGTTTAAAAATTCCAGCAATTTGATGTACCTGTCAAAAATCTTTACGCTTGTAAGACTTTCGTTCATCTTCCGAACACAAATGAAGATCTTTTTGATGAAATCTGAAAGATTTCTGTCCTCGCAACTGACACTTGTCGTGATCGTAAAACTAATAGATATCAATTGAGCGGCTTAGTTCAAATTTTCGAAAGACACACGATCATGATAAACAGATTGAATTTAGGCTTTTATTCACATATAAACATTCATCAACTCACACATCAGTTGTAGTAAACGGAAGCTCAAGTATGTTCGCTTGACGTGCAAGAACCAATGAGGTTTGTTCTCATGCACAAAGCAGATTCGCTTTAGCTTCTGTTTATGTTCGCTGATCAATGTTTATTTGTGAATAAGAGCCTAAATTAAATCTGTTCATCAGATAAAGTGATCAAGTCTCTTAAGAAAATTTGGACTAAATCGCTCAATTCATTTGGATTAGTTTTACAATCTCTTTATGAAATTTTTGAAGTGTCAAAAGGGTAGCTGAGTTGCTGCCAATGGAGGGACAGAAATCTCAGATTTGATCAAAAAGATCTACATCTACATTTGTGCTCTGAAGATGAATGTCTTATGGGTTTTGAACGACATTAGAGTGAGTAATTCATGACAGAACTAAACCTTTAATACATATGAATACATTTATATTTTAATTAAATAATTACCTGTATAATAAAAATAATTAAATGAATATATTAGGGCTGTCAAACGATTAATCGCGATTAATCGCATCCAAAATAAAAGTTTGTGTTTACATAATATATGTGTGTACTGTGTATAATTATTTTTAATACATAAATACCCACACATGCATGTGTATTTAAGAAATATTTGCATGTATATACTGTATATAGACTGAATGTAGCCTATATATAATGTATATTTTATATAAATATAAACATTTTATATATAAATAACATTTTTCTTAAATATATACATGTGTGCATTTATATACAAAATAATTATACACAGTACACACATATATTATGTAAACACAAACTTTTATTTTGGATGCGATTAATCGTGATTAATCGTTTGGCAGCCCTAGAATATATAGAAAAAGTTTTCATTTTCTTTAGTGTCTTATTACTACATCGTTTTTGGCAGATTTGGAACGCATATTTGTCTATTAATCAGCCTGACCTATTTATTTAGTTCTATGTTTTACATTGACACAGCACAACTATCGGTTTCTTTTAATACATTTGATAGACCAAACCTGGAGATTCGGTTGACAATGAAGAGGAACGCCCCTAAAGGAATGATGGAGAACAGGAACCATGGAAACACGATGCCCACCATTGCCAGACAGAACAGCACTAGTGTCACATTCTGAAGCAGCATTTCGGCTTGCATAGCCAGCCGCACGTCAACTATGCAAAGAGGAAGAATACAGAGTCAACGTGTGAGAGAGCGAGACATCAAAACTCTTTGAGACGCCCCCGTCATCCCGCATTTGTGAACTGAGGGGGAGAGAGAGAGAGAGAGAGAGAGGTTCCTCACCCTCATCCATGTCCCTGGAGAATCGGATGAGAATGCGTCCCAGGGGTGTTGTGTCGAAAAAGCGCATGGGGCTCAGAAGTAGAGTCTTAAATAGTTTATCATGCAGAACCGAGGCTGCCCGCACAGTGCACTGCAACAACAACAACGACACACACACAACAGTGTTAATAATGCATGAACACAGCAAAAATGCTAATAAATGAGCCGGTGATTTGAACACTTATAAAATGCTTTAGTTAGGGTCTACAATGCAAATAAACAGGTCAGGGATGTAAACAAACATTTAAACAGCCATAATAGCTAGATTATATGAAGGGAAACCTTGGCAAGCATACAGAAATGCTTTTGCCTGAGCTCTGTGAAGTCCAGATGAGACATTACACTGGAAGTGACCAATACTGCTCGAGTCTGACATCATCAGTAAGCAAAGATCAATCAACTTCAGCCACAGTAAAATAGGGGGATTTCTTTGATCTACTTTCTCAGATATACAGTACGCTGGTATAAAAAAATTTAAAAAGTTTTAAAGGGATATTTCACCCAAAAACGAAAATTCTGTCATTAATTACTCACCCTCATGTCGTTCCAAACCTGTAAGACTTTCGTTCATCTTCTGAACATTAATGAAGATCTTTTGATGAAATCTGAGACTTCTCTGTCCCTACATTGACAGCAATTTTATAAAGTGACTGTAGTGCTTTGTTTGCGGAAAAAACATAATATACCACTTCAAAATATTAATCTCCAACGTGCGTTCACAAGACCACCACACTAAATGCGTGAACACGCAACAGAGATTAATATTGTAAATAAAGTGGTTAAATTATGTTTTTTGCTCAAAGCGTCACTTCATAAAATTGAGGTTAAACCACTAGAGTCACATGGATTACTTTAATGATGTATTTACTACCTTTCTGGGGTTAACTTCTCGTTGCAGAGCTGTCAATGGAGGGATAAAAATCTCTCAGATTTCATCAAAAGATCTTCATTTGTGAACAGAAGATGAACGAAAGTCTTACGGGTTTGGAACGACATGATGGCGAGTAATTAATGACAGAATTTTCTTGTCTGGGTGAACTATCCCTTTAAACAACTGCGTATTAGGATCATGATCATTAGGATCAAAATTCAAAGGGCCCAGGACCCCCACTCCCCGAGGGTCTCCACCATCACAGGGCCCAGGATAATGTTCACAGTTATTCCCTCCTGACGACACACCCGATACATCTGCTTAGAAACAATAGATGATTTAAATTAAAGGACAAGAGACCATTTCACCAGCTTTTGTTTAGATGCAACAAATTAAACCTAATTAAATATATACCAAGTACGCTTTTGTTTTTTGTTTTTTAAAGATATTTTCAGCAAGGATGCATCAAACAGTAAAGACAACAGATTTACAGACAACAGTGTAACAAAAGATTTCAGTTACACTTCATTTTAAGGTGTCATTGTTACAGTGCAATTATATATTTAAGTACTGAGTAATATTAAGCAACTACATGTACTTACTATAGGGTTAGGACAGGATTAGGGTTTGGTTAAGGGGTTAGTTGGATCTAATTATGCATAATTTACCGTTATTACTATGGTAAGTACAGTACACGTAACAAGGACACTGTAAAATAAAGATACCAAGATTTCTTTTGATTATGTGACACTGAAGACTGGAGTAATGGCTTCTGAAAACTCCACCGTCACATGAATACATTATTATTTTAAAAAACATATATTTTAAATTGTAATATTTCACAATATTACTGTTTTTTACTGTATTTTTGATCAAATAAACACAGCCTTGTTGAACATAAGAGACATTCAAAGTCATTAAAAAATCTCACTGACCCAAAAGTTTTAAACAATAGTGTATGACAAATAAATTTAATATATAAATAAAATAATTTTGTCATTTTAAGTCACACAGGGGGAATAAAGTGGTTGGGATCGCTGTGCAGTGCGTCAGAAATAGAAAACAGGCATCATCAACTGTAGGCACACTGAGACATGCCACGCCGCAAAGGGCACTTCTCATGAAAACAGCTTCTTTAATTATAATAAAAGCGGTCTAGTTATCGTATCCAGTGTAGTCATGACGTTACCCCCAGCACTTTACACGATCTAACACACAAATGAGGCGTAATAAATGATGAACGTCATCACTGCCCTAAGGTAGAACTGCAGCACATATAAACACATGATTGCATAAGTACAGATATTCCCACATACATGCCTTCATAACAAAATTCCTCATGTTATGCTTATGCGAGTACATTTGGAATTGATGGTTTCTGGCACAAGGAGACAAATTCATTCCATTAATAGAATATGTAAAGTTCCCAAATTTGCTATCTTACCTTCGGGTAAAAGAGATTAGCCATCATCGAGGAATTAGTGAATACAAGTGGCACACAATTACACAGACACATAACCTCTCTAATGTGCTGTCGGGTCTGCTTAATGGAGAAGGGGGCACAGGGTCCTGATGGGACACGCATGCACAACCCCTCCAGCTCAAAGTCAAGACACTGGACAGATAAATGGATTTAGCCTGCAGGCAATTTCAATTAAACCGCAGAAAAAATTAAGAGACAGAAAGGATGAGAAAGAGAAAAAAGTGGACACTTGCCAATGCCATGGATTGCAGAGCAAGGATTTAGTGTGAAAATTAAACTGAAACTATACCATATCAATAATATATCGGTTTCGCTGTGGGAAAAAGGCATTAATTGCGATGCCCCCATGACAGATTAACCTGGTACTCTCAGGTAGATTCAGGCAGTGATGAATAGTACATGAGCAAAGAGGAAATGCATCTGCCTAAGGACCCAAGCTTTTGATGAAAAATTCAGCAGGAAGCCTGAACAGAGGAATCTCGCCGACAATAAACTCCAGATTACCTTGACGAACACCAGCCCTCGCATGGTCTTCAGGAAGAGCGCCGCCCCCATGGATAAGACGTACACCCTGGAGTAGTACTGTATGTGTGGATTCAGCCGCATGCTATCGCTCCCGGCGGTCTCGTTCCCCTGCAGCAGCGAGGAATTCTGCAGGGACAAACGAACATTACCTTGGAAACATGATCCTTCCCTAGAGATCCCCAACATACCAGCTGAACTGTGTGCACCAGTCCCAGTCTCAATTATTTTACAGAATGCGAGTTAACTGCAACATCTGTTGCCGTGATTGTCCCTCTGAGTAAATCGTGTGGAGTCTGGCACTTCTAATTAGTTTCGGGATTGATGTTCATTTCAGCTGAGCACCAAAAGTCGGTGATTCAAGCTGGCGTTGCGTTGCGTTAAAGGAATAATTCACCCAACAATGAAAATTGTCATCATTGTTTCACCATTATGTCGTTTCTAAACCTGTAAAGAATTACTTTCTCCAATGAAACTCTGAAGAATGTGAGCAAGTAGGAACTACTTATTCCAAGGAATAATACCTTGGAATAATTCCTTATACCAAGAAAACTAATTATTCTTTTGAGTCAGATCCAGTCAATTGGTTGGTCAATTTATTCACACTGATCAGAAATTCTCATTTTGTTTTCCACAGAAGAAAGAGTCATACAGGTGAGTAACTGATGACAGAGTTCTTATTGTTGGCTGAACTATCCCTTTAAATGGCAGAAAGTCAAAGCAATGAGATTGGTTTACCCCGCTGCCCTGCCTGATCCAGTGACTCAGCCACCAGTTGCTGAAGGCGATACTGCCTGTGGTGAAGAGGAAGAGGAGGATGTTCACAATGAAGGCCAGAGGGCCTCCGGCAGCCTTGATGTAAGCAGCATACACGGGCCAGGCCACGGCCCCGGTCCCCTTTTCCTCCGCCTGCATGAGCTGCTCTGTGAGGTGCACATCAAACAACAGAAAGAGACAGAGGAGAAAAACAAAGAAGTGTGACTCATCCACCAATATTAGCTCAGCTAAACTCAGGCTGTTGTTCTCAGATTAAACCAGCGCTTCTCAACTGCTATTCGCCACGACCCCAAGATAGGTCACACGTTGGCTAGCCAAACATCTGAACAAACTACAAAAGATCAATTTATTTGCTGGGTGGTTTATATTTAGTATAACAGTCATGGTATGTTTGTATCAGCTAGGCTTGTGTTTGCATCATTTCAGATCAGCGAATGTGAGCGAGTTGTGCGTTTCTAACCTGACTCCGCCAGATGGATTTGCTCCGCATATCCATCTGGAAACCTCCCGTTGAAGTAGTTTTGGTAAGGGACGAAAATACTGGTTAGCTGATTGGCCTATGTTGGTGATAGACGGGCCAAATCAACCAATCAGATCAACGAAGCATATGACGTACTAACAGAGCGTATCTTTTCCTCTGAGAAAAGCCTCCAGAGCAGTGTTTTGCTCTTCTTTCAGTGAAGAAATGTAATTCCGATAAAACTTGCTCGATAGCCACGCTGATGCTAGTTTCATCCGCTGAAGCCGACATGTTCTTTAGACTGAACTGACGCGCTTCTCGTTGCGTCACACCTCAACCCGCCTCAAAGCCAACGCTGATTGGACGTTCGTTTGGTGAACTGCTCCCAAATTTTCTTTAACGGAAAGTATCCAGACTGATCTGCGAGTGAAACCTTGAAAGCTCGCGAGATCAGGATGGTCTCACGAGGCTAGTGCGTTTCTGCATGGGGCAGAGACCTAGATTTGTTCTAAAAGTTTGAGCGTCTGTGTTTTCTCTCGAAAGGACTACAATTAATTCTTAGCGACTATGGGTGTGTTTACACGACACCGTTTTCAACTGAAAAAAGCTAACTTTTTATACGTTTTGGACATTCATTTACATGACAATTGCAAGATTTTGAAAAAGGGGTTTTGTAGTGCAAGGTTTATGACCGTGTTAACAACAAAAACGTGAATTTGTAAAAACGGGTGACGTCATGCGTACGCATATTACATGTTCATGCATGCGTATTACGTGTTCGTGGGGTGTTTCTTGACAAAATGACATCGACAACTACTGGCCTGGCATGCATAATACAGCCTTTTTTGTTATTTGCACAGATCCGCGTGAACGGTGATCGTTTTTAGTACATCGTTGTAGAGTCACATTTTTGTCTATTCAGCTTATGTCATGGTCATGTTATATGTAGTTTTGTTAACTACCAATTTAAAGTACTTTTTTAATGATCATTAAAACATTTATAATAACATATTATTAACATATATATTGTATACATTAATAAATCTGCATTTTTGCCATTTTCAACGTTTGACTCCAAAGTAATTTCTTGTTATTTTTTTGTACTGGTAATGGGCTAATGGTTTCACCACTTGAAATGCAATGTAGATTCAACGCAAACCCAGCTGAGAAGTGCTTGATTAAACACCCCTCACCTCCTTTACTGCTCTCGGCGTGCGGCTTGGCTGCGTCATTGACATGAAGGGACTGCGGGCTGCTCTCCTCCTCTGCCCTCTGCTTGTTTTTCAGGTTCTTCCTCACCAGGCTCTGGATGAAAGATGAACAGAAAAAGAGAAAGAGCGAGACCTGGTAAAGAGCAACCCGCAACTGAATGAGCCAGAACAACGGCTGTTGGGTCATTAATACAGAGATCAGTGACAATGTCCCTCGGGCTGTTACTCCCACAGATCAATTCACTTATAAATTACAAAAGCACAGCGTAAATTAACATTTCAAACCCAGCAGCTCTGCAACCCGTGGTTCATGAATTTTGCAGTGGGTGATGTAGGATGTTTTGTGAGGGTTTGACCCTGGTGTTTTCCCATAGGGCACAGCTGCAGCGGGCGGCATATCGCACCTCTTGCTGCACGCTGTTGAAAAGGGCAGCGTAGTCTCGGCCTTTCTCCATCAGCTGGGTGTGTGTGCCGTGCTCTGCTATCTGGCCGTCCTTCATTAACACCAACTCATCACACTCTGGCAAGTACTGTAGAATAAACACACCCGGGGGAAAGGACATGAGTGTCATAAAACAGAGTTAGGAGACCTTATGTTATTAACCTAAATCTAAGCATAATAATATCATAGAATAGAAGACATTAAAAAAATAAAAATAATAATGATATAAAATAAAATAATGTGTTGAGGGAAATTTTTATGTCTTTAATATTTGTAATAGGGATGACATATTGATATTATCAGTTATCAGCTAATATTAGAAATTTTTTTATGTATTAGTAACAGTCAATGTTGGATTTATAGTTGCATTTTACATTGTGCAGGTCATTTCCTCTATTTTTTACCTTTCCGTCATCCAAAGCTATATTAAAACTAATTTTTTCAATTAAAAAGTAATCTTTAGCAAATCTCAAAACAAATATCCATTTTTTTTATAATGCACATTATAATGTTACAGCATTTAAAATGTTTCATTTTAACTTTTAGTGTTTCATTTTTTACATTTTATTTAGACAAAACAGAACATTTATCAGTTAGCGGCAGTGTTACTGTTAACTGAAATTATTAAAATAATCGTTTTTGTTAATTGAAATAAAGCTGAAATATAATAAAACATGTTTTTTAAATTAACTTAAAAAAATTTAAACTTAAAGAAAATTAGAAATGTTGCCTTGGCAACTAACTGAAATAAAATAAGTTTAAGATAAAGTACTAAAATGATTCAAACTAAAACTGAAATGAAAATGCTACTAAAAGGTAAATATGATTTATTTATTTTTATCACAAGGGCACGTAAAATTACTAAACTAACATTTTGTTCAACTAAAATAAAACTGAATCGTATATAAATAATACAAAAAATTGTATTCATATGAAATAAACAAACAGGCTTATTGGCAGAGGTGGGAGACTCGAGTCATATGACTTGACTCGAGTCGCAATTTTCTGGACTTGAGACTTACTTGACTAGATCTCTGAAAAGACTCGACTTGACTTTAGACTTGACTCGGACTTGTGCCTATTTACTTGAAATGACTTGACTTGGAATTTATTTATTTTTTAATTATTGTGATTTTTTTATATATTTAAGAATGAGGGAGCGCGGGCGGTAATGCACTCCCTCTGTGTGTGCGGGTTGAGGGAGAATAAAACGATTCGCGGGACTCCCGCAAACTAGAAATATCTATGAATAAAACATAAAAACGAATACATTTTTATTAATCTGTTGCAGAAAAGCAATAAGAACAACTAAAACAAAATAGAAATGATTTACAGGCCAGAGTTTCTATTTCTAACATGTCTGCAGCGTTGAGCGATGTAGCCAATCACAGACATATGTGTTGATTTCTTGAACGCAATGGCCAATCAGAAGCATTTACGATGGACTCCCCTCACCGCTCAAAACGTCAGTTCTAACTACCCACGTATTAAAAAAATAGTCGGGTTTTTAAATCATTTAAATGATTAGATTTGTTTTCTTAAAATTTCCATATAATATTTTGTGTTATGGGATCAAATCACCTGGATATTTAGAGTAAGAACATACAAACTTTGGCATACAGTACTAATTTTAGTTTATTTATTTATTTATTTTACAAGATGGGAAAAGTTTTATTAATTCTTGTTTACTTGTGTTCATTTAATTTATTTTAATTTTAGAGCATTTAAAGTGCTTCTTAATGATATTGTATTTATTACACACAAGTTAATTTATTTATTTTTGTAAGCCATCAGCCCTCTGTGTCTAAAGAAGTAATAAAAGTCCCAGAGTTTTTTTGTATTTTAACAAAAATTTGTAAAACTAGCCTGTGTGCGACTTGGTATGACTTGATGACTAAGTTGCGACTTGAATTGACAAAGAGTATGACTTGACTTGACTTTGACTTGCAATGTTAAGACTTGGACTTGACTTGAGACTTGCATTTAGTGACTTACTCCCACCTCTGCTTATTGGTATTGGCTTAAATAAATATTTAATAAATAAATAAAGATGGAAAAGGGTATTTAAAGCCATGCTGTATTATAAGAATAATAATGGCTGAAAGGATTGCCAAACAACGGCCTTCACAATAAAGCACTGCCTCTCATATGAACCATATTCGATTCTAAAACATATATACTCTCAGTGGAACTTGGTGGACGAGTTCGATGCCTCCTGTCCCAGTCTGCGATATGTCTATGCTCTCTCGCTGTACATCACGTGCATTCATAAGCCTCTTGCCTGCAGTTGGTGCGTGACGAAGATGACAGTCCTGCCCTTGGCAGCGGAGCGGATGGCGCTGTGGAATAGGTGTGAGCCCACACGAGTGTCTACGGCGCTGAGGGGGTCATCGAGCAGAAGGATGGGTCTCTCGCTGTACAGCGCACGTGCCAGACTCACTCTCTGCCGCTGGCCGCCGCTCAGGTTGGCTCCTCTCTCTCCGATCTACAGCAGATAATTCCGTTACAGCCACAGTCATGATTATACACCATTTTTCCAAGACTATTTACAATCGAAAAAGTGAGATTTGTACGACCTTGTACTTTGATTGTGTTTGTCGAGGACAGAGATTATATTAGGAGCATTATACCTCAGTCATATCGCCATATGGTAGTTGAGTAATATCAGGGAATAAACAGCATGCTTCCAGAACAGCATTGTACCTGGTGAGAGATGAGAACAACACTTGTTTAATTTTAGAAGAAAGGCCCAAGTCATTTGTATGCACAACTTACATATGCATGGATAAAGCTCCTTACTTTTCCTCAACATATTGTTTTCCAAACAGGATGTTCTCTCTGAGGGAATCGTTGAGGATCCAAGCCTGTTGAGCAACATATGCAAATCCTCCATTTACAGCTACTGAGCCGCCAAGAAGGGTCATCTAGACAGAAGGCGAAGAATCAAACCTATACATCTGCTTTCACCCTGCTGAGAAGACCAGCTGGTTTATGTCCAGGCTGGTTGATGATGGTTAAAGGGGTAGTTGTAAAAAATAAACGTTTTTCATTATTTACTCTAATTCCTTGCCAAACCCATATGCTGTTATTTTCTCAGTAGAACTCATAAGGTGAAATGCTTCTGTAAAACAACAGCTGTCAAGCTCCAAAGAAAGAACTTTAAAACTTTGTCTCTTTCAAAGTTTAAAAGAACATAATTTATTTGAATCTTGTAACATCTTAAATGTCAAATGACTATTTTGTAGTTGAATAAAAGTATTAATTTATTTAATAAATAAAAAAATAAAATAAAAAAAAACCTTTTGAATGGTAGTGCATGTAATTTCTCACCTGTCCCAGGAGAGCAGATAACAGTGAGCTCTTTCCACTGCCGACTCCGCCACAAACCCCCAACAGTGAGCCCTGGGTGCACAGCGCAGAAAGCAGGCCGTCAAATCACGTCAAAACAGAGCGAGCGTAATGCTTGTGTTGAAAAACTACATGAGCCCTCTATTCATGAACAGTTTTTTTTTTTTTTTAACTGAATATAGTGAGAAATGTTCAGACACTGAGCTATGTAATGAAGGTGAAACCGCACATGGAATGGTAAAAATGACCTATGATAATACCTTGCGGATGCTCAGGTCTATGCGGTGCAGGGTTTTGTGCAGCGGCGGTCGGATGCTCTGGGATGAGGAGATGGTGCTCTGCGGGCTCTCCTGCTCCATGTGTGTCAGAAGGTGCTCTGCGTTGGGTTCCTCGCTCTTTCCTTTACTCTCCTCTGTGCTGATGTACAAGCTCAGTTTCTCCCTCCTCAAAAGCCTCCTCATGCCTCCTCTTTTCTGCTGAACTCGGCTGTTTTTCCTCTGTGAGCCGCAGGTCTTCTCCCAGGCCAGTGTGGCATCTTGAAACTCCACCGCATTATAGGGATCTTCTGTTTTGACCGAGATCAGCTCCCTATCCTCCATCATGAAGAGCTTCTGTGGGCAAAAGTGGAGGCATTAACACCGGGAACATCAAACTTGTTTGGTAAACAAAACTTTGAAGGAATAGTTCTCCCATAAGAAAAAAAATCTGGGTCACACTTTAGATTAGGGTCTAATTCTCACTATTAATGAACTATTAACTACGACTTTTGCCTCCGTAAACTTCTAATTACTACTTATTAATAGTTAGTAAGGTAGTTTTGTCACGGTTGGTAAATCCTATGTCTGCTCCTTGTCTCGTGGTTCTGTTATTGTATGTGTTGTGTGCTGATTAGAGGGGCGTGGCCGCTCATCAGCGCTCGTCAGCAATCACCCATCATCAGCTGCAGTCTATCATTCATGTGTATATATTCTCATCAACTTCTCATCTCCTTTGTCAGATCGTTGTTTGTGGTTCCCGGTGTGTGTGTTCCCAGTCTCGTTCAGTCGTGTGCTTCTCTTGTTCCGGTTCTTGTTCGTTGGATGTTGGATTACTGTTCGTCGTTGGATTTTCACCACCACTACCACTACACGCTGCACTGTCTTCTGACCATTGGAGTCCCTGCGCTACTAACCTGTTTGCCTGGACTTTGGACTGCCTATCTATTCCATCATTTCAATAAAAGAGTTAACTGCAATTGCTTCCGTTTGATCACTCATGACAAGTTTTTAATAGGTATTAGGTACGATTATGGGATGTAGAATCTGGTCATGGAGAATAAGGCATTAATATGTGCTTTATAAGTATTAATAAACAGCCAATATCGTAGTAATATGCATGCTAATAAGAAACTAGTTAATAGTGAGAATTGAACCGTAAACTAAAGTGTTATTTACTCACCATCATGTTGTTCGAACATGAAATTCTGTGAACACAAAAGTAGAAATACTGCAGAATGTCCAGTCTGCTCTTCCATGAAAGTGAATGGAGCTCACAAAAATAGCATAATAGTAGTCCAGTGTGACAATTTAAAGTGAATTGGAGCATGATTGAGGTTTGAGAACTACAGCAGAGGTGATGATTTTTAAAGCATGACGTATGAAATAAATACTTTTGAATGGGAACAGTTTACTGAACCTTTAGAAAATATATTTTTTTAAACTTTTTTGAAAAAGTTTGTATGTGTGTTTTTTCTTTAGTATCATATTTGATACATCAGGCTTGTATGCCTATATAGTATGATATATGCGAATATGGAGCTCATTCTCAAGGAGGAAAAAAAATATATTTTATAGACCCAAACTTAGCAAAAATACGTTCTGATAGCTTATAATGTAAATCAATAAGAGGTTTATAAAAGTAAAGCAGACTACTTACGTGAAATGCATATAAATATACGTTTTCAATCTATATATCCCAATATCTCCCAATAATATGTCTTAGTAAGATGATATTTAAATGCTTGGTTTTATGATCAAAGCTCTGTAGCTTTTAAATGGGTGGGCGGGGATAAAATGTAATGCAAAATAATGATGATTGAGAGATAAACAAAACGTTCCTCAAAAGCCTGATCGATCTTATTTGATACTCACATTTTAACATGATTAAAATAATGTTAGATAATCAAGTTGCTCAAATCCAGTGAGTGTTCATCTTGAGCAAATTTATTAATACATTTGATTTATAAATATCAGTAAAATACACTTGTATCACAATCTAAAAGTGGACGTTTTTAGAATGATACTAGATTACAATTAAAAGCACTTGTTAAAAAAGTATGAGCTATCAATCAGGTGACAGAAAGCATGCAACAGATTGTGAACAATGTGGGGGCAGATACAAGCAACCCACACACCACTGATCCATAATTCACACATCACCGACATAGACACACATGCATATTTGGCACGTCTCCTTTAAGAAGCGAGAGAGTTTGAGTTTTGTTAATGTGTTGTTCCGGGGCAGAATTTGAGAATAAAAATGCGACTGTTTTGGTCTAATGCAACAATCCTGCCTCCGTGTATTTTTAATAGCTCGAATATCTACAACAACAGGTTTTTCAGCAAAGTTTTGATCATGTTGATCATTTTAATTTGTGTATAAAATATGATACAGTAGGCTTTATATTCAGCTTTTTTTGGTCATTTTTGGAGTCCCATTCCCTATTTATTCATTGTACTGGAGAAGAGCCATCTGGACGTTCTTCAAAATGTATCTTTTGTGTTCCACTGAAAGTAATTCATGTTTGGAAAAACATGAGGGCGAGTAACTAATGGCAGATCAGTAATTTCTGGTTCTTATGTGGATGTGGATGTGTTTTTGACCTGAAATCGTTTCACAGCCACGGAGCCCTCGGATAAAGCACGCACTGCCAAGGGCGTGACCTTTAGAGCAAAGGTCATGGAGTTGAAAACAGCAACAACGGTGAAGGCCTGCGCGTTGTGACAGAAATGAAAACAGGTCTCTGAGTTCAAGTTCGCTGTCGTTTAGGAGCCTCGGATTACTAAGCGAAAAGCAGAAATATGACTTAACCTGTGCTGCCGTGAGATCATAACCCAGAGCCATGTGAAGAGTGAACGTGCACACGCTGGCTATCACCACCACGACTGGAGCTACGCCCACCGTCAGGCTCTGAACACAGCCGGCCCACTCCAGTATCCTCCTCTCTTCTGATCGGACCTCTGGAGACACAGACAGAGGAGTCGTCAAAGAAGCAAGAGAACAGTTTTCTGTCAGGGTTTGAGATTCACAACTGTACTACTAACAGGTGTGACTATCAAATTGCCCTGGGCTCTGTTGCATAAACTGCTTAGACTAGTCTTTCTCTCCTTTTGTCAATTTATGGCCACACAATGTATAATAATAATAAAAAATAAAAAAAGAAGAATTATACACAATTAAAACAAATAACTGGACTTAATTCAGTCCAAAACATTTCCATTTCGCATTTTTCTAATTCGTTTTTTTATTAACAAAATAACAAATCGAGTGAAAAATTTGAGTGTGCCAAATTTCTGTGCCAAATGCCTCAATGACATGACAGACGTCTAAAAAAAATTACGCTTTCAAAATGTAGCTGTGACTCCTGAAGACGCAAGGATCCGATCACATAGAAAGTGTTTTTCCATTGCACTGCGCTGCTTTTCCATTGTTTTTCAATGTAAACATGCTAGACGGCATCTTTAAGGGTGCAGTAAGCGATTTATGAGAAACGCTGTTGAAAGTTGATCGGACCGAGCACCAAAACACACTTGTAGCCAATCAGCCAATCAACTTATGATGATGTAGGAGAGATTTGAAGAAAGACTTTCTGTTCCTCCTCGTCGTTTGTTCATCATGTTCACTTTATTTTTCGCAAAAGCTTTATTTTGCTACGCTTCAGCTATGATAAAGAGACATCCACTCTCGCATTGAAAGGAGGGGTGTGTTTGTTTGGGTTGATTTCAAATATCAACAGTGTTCAACAATGACTCTCATAAATCGCTTACTGCACCTTTAACCGTAGCGCTCGCGTCTCTAGTATGACACGGCATTTTAAAAACGCTGCATTCACGTTAAAAGTAGTTAAACGTTTTAAAATGCGTCTCTAGACCTTGCACTTTTTCAGTTCCTCTGACCTACATCTTGCGTTTTTAACAGCAGAAACGCATTGAACAAGCCTTAAAGGGTCACTCCACCCATTTCAACATTAATCTTTATTGAAAGTGGGTTATATATGTAGTCGAAATGTAAAAGAAATTTTAAATTTGGTGCCCTCTTGACCGAGAAAAGACAGAAAATAACTTTGGGGCGCATTTGTATGTAAGACAACAACTCCCACAATGCACCATGTTGCACAGCTCCGCAAGCCACTCCCACTAATCCAGAACAGCGCAAACATCAGAGAAATCGCTCTTCCGTCTACAAGAAGGCTAGCTGCCAAATGAGTTCAAAATTCATTTCACAAAAAATGTCTAGTTAGTTGTGGCGAGCAGGACGAGGGCGAGGGACGTGAGAGGACGACGCGAGTGATAATGAATGGCACCTGTGCAGCGGTCTCATATCTCTCACGGAGGAGCGGAAGCACAAAAGGAACAGGCCTGATTTTATGTTTTGTTTCTGTTGTGTGTGGCCAGCTGGCTTATACTTTTGTTTTGTATTTGTTTATTTTACTATTAAAACGTTTAAATGTTCGCCGGTTCCAGCCTCCTTCTTCCCACAACAACGAACCCCGTTACATTGGCAAACTCATTAGTGAATTACTCGTTTGTATTTCTTTCTATATGGTGAATTATTGCATGATACCTGCATGTTCAGTCAGGCGAAACTAGGATGGTTCACATCACAACACAAACGTCCGTGTGCTCGTCTGATTCAGAGATTTCGTCCAGGAGAAACTGCCTTGTTGAAATTCTCTGCAGCAGACGGACTCTATCTGTGTCCGTAGCGCACAGCGAGAGCACAGGCACCAGCAGTCCGCCTCAGCTCGACCCAGCCCGGGCTCCTCGTCCGCGACAGGCAGCCGCCTCCTGTTCCACCATCAGCCTCAGCTGCTCTTCACTATATTGGGGCTCGTAAAGATAGCCACGAACAGCGGATTCGAGCAGCAGAATTTCAAAATCCTCTTCTTCCATATCATGTTTAGTTTCTTCCGTCATTGTCGTAACTTCCTATATCCACAGCGCTTGTTAGCTTAGCTTATAAACAAGATGGCTGATATTGCTTTCAGTATCTGCAAGTGAAGTCCCACCCACTGATCTGTGATAGCTCTGTTAGCGCATTAGGCACAACCCCCTATGGGCGGGTTTGAAAGGGTGGGAATTTGTGCTTGTAGTCTATACAGAAATCCCCCCTTTTTACACTTCCTCCTACAATGACGTCAAATGACGATTTTTGCGTCATTGTAGGAGGAAGTGAAAAAGGTAAATAGTAGATTTCTCTCGTCTCAGGGGAAAATGAAAGAATGTTGCACGACCATTCAATAGTATGACTGGTTGTCTAACAATGGACCTCTTAATGCAAATGGGTGGAGTGACCCTTTAAGGGAGTCAGTTCGGTTATATAATGCATTTGTTATTCTCTCTTGAAACTGAACTGTGTATGAACAGAACCATATTTAGTGAAACCTACTGTGTGAATGTAGCCCTATTGTGTTTCTATCCTACAGTGTAGTTTCTAATTTACAGGAGCCAAACGATGTCCAATCCGGCGGCAACACTGAGAAGTGTGTCTGTATCGGAGAGGAAGACAGATCGTAATCATAAATGGGATGTTGCAGTAGATGGGAATGTTGAGGCATTGGATGGTGTCCAAGTGCCCCATTTCACCCTCCTTCTGCTGCACTAATATTTGTCTCCCGACTGCCTGGAAGCTGGCACATTCATTCAGTGCCGCTCTCTGGCTCATGGCCAAAGTGTTTTGCTGCTGGTCTAAACAACCAGAAGCACTGGACGTATTCTCTGAAAACATTGCTGGATCTCCATAATTCAGATATAGAAGATGTTAATCTATGAAGGTTGTGATATTTTATTGTGTGCATGCAAAAAAAAAGTGCAAATTTAAGAGAGAAGGCCATGCATCCTTCATTTCTGCTCAGCTACATAACAGGCAATGTCTTATGTGAAAATGGATTACTGAAGCAGTACGTCCCAGTTTAAAGGTTTTAAAGATCCATTGCCTACATATACAGAGAGTTTTTGAACATTTAGGACACAACTTAAAATCTCTGAACGTCATTTTTTTTTTCATACAAATACAAGCACACCTTTTAAGCAAAACATTTTACAGAAAGATGTTATAAATGAAAAATTGATGAATAAATATACTGTTCAAAATAAAGACAATTCATATTTTGGTTAATGTTATGAACTACACCTGTGATTGCTTGATATTTTTTTTTCCTATGCTATGATTCAATGATTCAAACATGTCTAAAGGGTTACTTAAGTATTTTTGTAAGAAGTCTCTTCTGCTCACCAAGGCTGCATTTATTTGATCAAAAATACAGTAAAAACATTAATATTGTGAAATATTATTGCAATTTTAAAGAACTGTTTTCTATTTTCATATGTTTTAAAAAGCAATTTATTCCTGTGATGTAAATCTAAATTTCCAGCATCATTACTCCAGTCTTTAGTGTCACATGATCTTCAGAAATCATAATAATATGCAGATTTGCTGCTCAAGAAACATTTCTTATTATAATCAATGTTGAAAACGGTTGTGCTGCTGAATATTTTTGTGAAGACCATTACAGTTTTTTTTTCAGGATTCTTTGAAAAATAGAAAGTTAAAAAGAACCGCATTTATTTGAAACATTATAAATGTCCTTACTGTCATTTTTGATCAATGCATCCTTGCTGACCCCAAACTTTTGAATGGTAGTATATATCCACGTCACCCAAATCGTTACTATCTAACATTCAACAAAGTCAAACCACTCCAAAGGCATTATGGAATAAAGAGCGTTAAACGCTTTGTAAGTTAATCTTGGAGCTCAGGGACTCTCAGGACATTTCAGTGACTGAGGACCGAGGAAGGACAGAGCCAAGACAGTGGATTAGGAAACTTGAGAATGTTCCTTTGAATGCAGTGTAAAGACACAGAGATGATCCTTTGATTTCCATGGAGACTATGACATCCAAGGGCTCAGAGAAACAGGAAGTGAGCATATAATGATGGTGACTGAGTCAGTGCTACTGTTTGAGTGGGTGTAGTTGAGCGCTGTCTTACTTTGAATGTTGTGGGAAAACGCCGTCTCCCAGCAGTACATCTTAATGAACTTAATACAACCCAGAATCTCGTTCATCAGTCGGACGCGCTGGTCCGTAACCCCCACACACTTCTTACGGAAATACGCTGTCATGCGGGAGGCCAGCATCTGTGGGGAAATAATTATTATGTGAAGAACAACCTGTACAGCCAGTCACAAGGTTACAGTGTGTCCTGACTCAAAGGGAAATCCCCAGAGTAAAACTATTAATGTACTGCACAAAAATGACAGAATGTCCAGATTTTCTGCTCAAATACATTTTTGTGACCTTTTAATGTGGCTCAAATGACATATAAACTGCTGCTGCAGGCATGAAACCATTTTCCCTGGCATGCTCATCATAACATCACCATATTTTATAATGTAATTGAATCTGACTTCATATTTTGTTATTACATGAGTTTAGAAGACCTTTTGACCTCCAGTCTTAAAGTTTAAGGCAATTTTTAGCTTGTATGGATGGTTTATGCAGGGTTATATAGAATCTATATATGATCCATGCAAACTCCACACAGTAAGGACTCCTCGAACCAGGGACCTTCTTGCTGTGAGGCGACAGTGCCACTGAGCCAGATAGATAGATTTGTTTGTAATATTTTAAACACATGCGCAATATGCGTAATGCCAGTTATTCAATTTATGCATTTATGAGTTCGATTCTGACTTGACTATACATTTTTAGCCATGTTTTTGGTACAACAAACAAGTTACCACTGGATGTTCAAAGTGAATTTGATGGAGTATATTTATTCAACACATTAGAAAGGTATATTGGGGCAGTACCATAAAGACATTTAAAATCTAATAAGTGGCACACTTTGGCTGTGTGAGGCACGTTCAAGAAGACCAGGAAGACAAAGAAGACGGATAATGATCAAACTCTATTTATTATTTATGAACAAGACACGTACCAAACATAGCAAGCAGTTAAGACGTAGAACCGACCAGGAAGAACTGAAACTAGGGAGACTATACAGAGACAAATGAGGAGACTAAGTGACAACAGGTGTACAAGGTGAGTGATGATGACTGATGAGGATGATGACAGGTAACAAGTGAAACAAGAAAACACATGGTGCACAAAAACAGAAGGCAAAACAAAGTCCAAGACAGGAGTCACAGTGACAGTACGCCCCCTCCTGGAAGGCGTGGCCTCACGCCGTAACGAAAAAGATGAAGGCGGGGGTTTGGGAGGAGGAGCAGGCGGGGGTGAGTGATGGGGCTGACAGGAGGCAGAGGAGATGCGGATGACGGTTGGATGATGAGAGGGGGCAGGAGAGGGTGGTTGGGTGGTAATTCAGGCTCAGGAACCGACTCAGGCGTGGCGGCGGCCATCTTGACCGGAGACGAGGGCTCAGGCGTGGTCAAGAGACAAGACTCTGGAAGGGTGGTCTCGGCGGGACGAGACTCTGGAAGGGTGGTCTCGGCGGGACGAGACTCTGGAAGGGTGGTCTCGGCGGGACGAGACTCTGGAAGGGTGGTCTCGGCGGGACGAGACTCTGGAATGGTGGTCTCGGCGGGACGAGACTCTGGAATGGTGGTCTCGGCGGGACGAGACTCTGGAAGGGTGGTCTCGGCGGGACGAGACTCTGGAAGGGTGGTCTCGGCGGGACGAGACTCTGGAAGGGTGGTCTCGGCGGGACGAGACTCTGGAATGGTGGTCTCGGCGGGACGAGACTCTGGAAGGGTGGTCTCGGCGGGACGAGACTCTGGAAGGGTGGTCTCGACGGGACGAGACTCTGGAAGGGTGGTCTCGGCGGGACGAGACTCTGGAAGGGTGGTCTCGGCGGGACGAGACTCTGGAAGGGTGGTCTCGGCAGGACGAAACTCTGGTAGGGTGGTCTAGATGGGACGAGACTCTGGAAGAGTGGTCTAGGTGGGACGAGACTCTGGAAGAGTGGTCTAGGTGGGACGAGACTCTGGAAGGGTGGTCTCGGTGGGACAAGACTCTGGAATGGTGGTTTCGGCGGGACGAAACTCTGGAAGGGTGGTCTAGGTGGGACGAGACTCTGGAAGGGTGGTCTCGGCGGGACGAGACTCTGAAAGGGTGGTCTCGGCAGGATGAGACTCTGGACGAAGATAGGAGGTGTGGCGATAAAGATGGCTGGTGACGGTGGATGAGCAGTGATGTCAGAATCAGCCTCACCCACGGTGAAGGCTAAGCCGCTCAACCACAGCACATGATCCAGTTATTGTTCGAACGTGCCTGGGATCGCTGCTGCAGGAGCTTGCTGGTGCAGATGATCGTCCAGTCTGTACCAGAATACAGTCTTTAGGACGTCATCTGCCCAGTCCATGAGGTGAGAAATTTTGAGAAACCTCTCGGCATATTTCTCGATCCGTTGGCCGTCCTGGAAACAGGTTACAAGCCGATCTGAAGGATTCAGCAGGATATGGAGTACGCCCATGTTCTCCTTAAAGAGCATATTGCAGGTAAAAAAAAACTAAATATCTAAATTAATATATAACCTTGTATGAAAATACCATATGAAAAGTTAATGCAGGATTTAAAATGTTTTAAAACGACATAAGGGAACCAATTTAGTAGATAAAGTGAATGTTTCTTTGACTGCTCGTAAAAAACGTTTTTTTTTTTTCAACATCGCGTCATTTTACGTCACGAAAGGGAGCCTCAGCCAGTGTCGGCAACTTAGCGCCTTTGACACTATTTTTAGCGACTTTTCAGACCCCTTTAGCAGCATTTTTTCAAAAAAGCAACTAGTGACAAATTTAGCGACTTTTTGGATAAACCTCAGTAACCTCCAAATATTGCCTGTACTGTCCTGCGAGCGTGAGGTCTTGCTTTCTCCCTGTCGTCACTCTAGCTGCGCCCCCCCGTTCAGTGAATGGCTGAGAAGAGCGCACGGCTGCTGACAGACGTGATTGAGCAGTGTTTTTCCACGGACTTATCACTTATCTGCTTTTCTTTTGTTTTATATTTAAAGAATTTAGTTTGACCATTTTCATTTTTTTTCTTTTCTTGTGCTTATTACTTGTAATACTCACTATGACAGAGCTTTAGTTCATCCGGTTCCCGAAGTCTCTCAATTCAGATAACTTCCCACATAGGCCAATAAAAAATGTAGTCATTAGAACGAGTAGCTATGATATACATAGCTACTCGTTCTATTGTCTGACAAAAAAAAATAGGACATGAGAATGCATTATTTGACATTCGGCTATATTATATTATAAATAAAGAATTCATTTAGAGAGAAAACACATTAGGCAGACAGAATGCAAGTACGACGCGATGACGTAATTAATATGCTAATTGACGTATGACGTCATCTAGCGACATTTAGCGACTTTTAGGGAAGGCGTTAGCTACTTTCCTTTGAAAATAGTTGGCAACACTGGCCTCAGCTCAGTGCAGAGTAGGTTGGTATTCAGTAAGAGCGGTCGTGAGTCAGTGTGTTTTCGGTAGTTTTTGTATTTTAATTTATCATCGTCATGGTAAATTATTGTGTTTGTGGAGGTTGCAAAAAACTCCGGCCTGGTCAGGACATCGAGTCCACAGGTTTCCTAACAAGAAAAAGGACGGTGCTATCTTTCGTGCCTGGTGCGGTTTGTGCAGGTGAAGAGACGGGATTTCTCTTCCGCATCGGCTTTGAGAAACGCGGCCGTGTGTAGCGTTCACTTCAGATCGGAGGATTATCATCCCGGCGATATGATGGAGTTCAACATGGGATGCCGAAGCAAGAATCTGGCGGGTGACATTTTCCACTAAGGCCCAGTATGCATCTACCTCCCTGCAGCATTGACTTTCCTCAGTTGTGAACATTGCCTCGCATTTCCCACACAAGCACCTACGGAACAAAAAACGTGTATCAGGAACACAAATATCTCTCTGTCTCTCAATGAGAAACTGCTAAGTTATATCACGTAAAGTTACGTCTGGACGGATATTAATGAACATGACATACGCCTGATCAAAGCTTATTAGTTTCTGTTATTGGTAAGTTCCAATACTCCTAGATGACCAATAATAGCTTTGCTATTAACTGATATACGATGGTAATAATCTGTACAATATTGTGAGCACAGGGTATATCGTTAGCGAACGTGTAACGTTATATATCTATAAGCTAACACTGGTTCTCCTCACACCACAACTCAATTTGTCTCCTCTGACCGTTGTTCTGTCTAACATTAATCCTGGCCTGTCCCTGCATAGCAGGCACATAATTGTATGGCTGTGGTCCGTCATACGAGTAAGTATGAACAATTTCCTCAGCGTCCGAAATGTCATTGTGATCCATTATTTTCCTGTTGTTTGAATCGACCGCTCTCCCGCCCGTTACGCCCATTTTCAGATGCGGAAGTAAAACTTTCTCACAAAAACGACTCCAAAAGCCTCTGTAGCGTATTTATAAGTATATTTTAAAGAAAATCTAGTTCCTACATTATTTTTCTATACATTGACTCGTTGGGTCCTCTAACCTGCAATATGCCCTTTAAAGGGATACTCCACTTTTTTTGGAAATAGGCTCATTTTACAACTCCCCCAGAGTTAAACTGTTGAGTTTTACCGTTTTTGAATCCATTCAGCCGATCTCCGGTTCTGGCGGTACCACTTTTAGCATAGCTTAGCATACATCATTGAAGTGGACAAGACCATTAGCATTTCTAAAAACAAAATGACCAAAGAGTTTCGATATTTTTCCTATTTAAAACTTGACTCTTCTGTAGTTACATCGTGCACTAAGACCGACGGAAAATGTAAAGTTGCGATTCTCTAGGCTGATATGGCTAGGAACTATACTCTCATTCCTGCGTAATAATCAAGAAACTTCACTGCCGTACCATGAGAGCAGCAGGCGTAATGATATGACGCAGCGCCTGAAAATAGGCTACCTTCCGTCAACACAACGGAACTATTTTGACCGCAGATCTAACCACCACCACAAACAATTATATGATATATTAGTTATGATTTTTTTTAAACATCCCAAACACATCTATATACATTTGGATGCTACATTAAACAAATTCTTAAAGGGAAACATTTTTTTTTAATAATAAATCAACACCATAGCTGATTCCAAGTGATCAAGGGCTTAGGACGTTCCAATTCAGCCATTGCAGTTTCCGCCAGTAGTGGGCAC